AAAGGACCGGCGTGGCCACGCTTCCCAGCGGGCGAGTGATGAGGACGGAGGATCCCTGAGAGACCACTGCGGCCATGACCACTGCTCGAAGGAGGCATACCGCTGCCGGTGCATTGGAAGAAGAAGACTTCCCACCTTTTCTCCTCTGACTCTCAGAGCCAGTTGAGTTTTCGGAGCCTGATGATCCTCGTGAGCTGCTTCGCTTGCGAGGTTTCTTGTCTTTCTTCTTCTTCTTCTTTTTGTCCTCTTTCTTCGCAGGGACAGTCTTTTCAGGGTGTTGGAATGCGCAGTCTTTTCCTCGGTGGCAATGCCCTGCCTTCCAAAACTTGCAAGTCTCCTTGCGAGATCCTGGTGTCAGCGATCTTGACCGAGATTGGCTGCGATCCTTACCCTTTCCCTTTCCTTTGCTTTTCTCGCGGCCTTTTTCGTGCTTGTAAGGACATGATGATCCGCGCTTGCATTTTCCGGTCTTTTGAAACTCGTAGCAGATGCCTTTCTTCTCCTCCGGAGCTGGCATGGTTGTGTCTTTGGACCCGAGCGAACGCTTCGTGGCGTCGCGCATCTTTTCCAACCTCTTCCGTTCGAGGTAGGCCCGGGCAGCAGTAATCAGGAAGTCGTACGTTCTTTCTTTGCTTCCATCGGCTGCACGGTCGTACAAGGCCAAATCATGCTCAAGCGGCTTGAAACGTTTCACTGCCAGGTGGAAATAGGCTTCCAGAACACTGTTTTCTGGTTCCTTTTTCATCCCGGCAAGAACGCTATCCCATTTATTTATAAAGCCCTTGAGGTCATCGTTGACCATTTTGACGGACATGAGGTCTTCGAGCCCGTAGATTGCTCCATGCTTGATGCTTGTGGCAAAATACTCGTGGAACCGAAGGAGCAAGTGTCTACCCTTCACGTTCTTGTCTTCACGAGCACGCAACTCCTTGAATGTAGCAATCTGCCGACCGAGGTCCCCCTCAGCGCAATTGGTTAAGCTTGCAAGAAGCTTTGCGTCGAGGGTTGCGAATCCCTCTGAATCATCCAAGGCATCAATGGTTTGGGAATCTTTGTATACTTTCCCAACCCAAGATCTTGCTTCATCCGGCTTCGCTGAAGCTGCAGCAATATTGTCCCTCACCTTGATCTTCCAGTCTCTGTACTTCTCAGGCGTGGGGAACTTGGGAATGAGAATTTTGTCAGCTTCTTTGGCTTTACTCTCATGATCCTTGTCTTTCGACTTCCTTTGCTGCTTCTTCAACTCTTTGCGAATGATGCGTGCAAGACGCGATGATTCAGAGCTTGAGTCATTTGAGTCATCACTCCCTCCTGATGAACTGGGTGACGATGGTGATGGGGAAGGAGAGCGTTTCTTTCTGCGCTCCCTCGAGCGGCCCCTCTTAGGGCTCTTCTCTTTCTTGTCTTTCTTTGATTTATCACCACCCTCTTCATCAGCATCGGATGGATGAGGCTCATCACCGCCTTCGATCCCGGGCTTCTCCAACTGAGTGCGAGTGCATCCTCTCTTTGCTTGGCAGAGGCGCGTTCGTTCTCAACGACGGTGTGTCGTTCGAGCGAAAGGCGATCTAGGTAAGCCCGTTGTTCTTGAAGATGTTGATTTTGATGGGCTTGGTTCATGTCACTCAATCGTTGATTGGCTAAAGCCTCAATCTGTTCCCTAGACTCCTGGACAGCCACTTTAGCTTGGTTCTCCACTAAGTCTCTAAAATGCCTAGCATCCTCAGCTACTTGTTGCCCGTGCTCGGCCAAAATGGCCTGATGCCGCAACTCTGCGATCTGAGCTACCTGTGCTGACCTGTCTTCATTGACGAAGACTGCTTGTTGATGGATCTGTCTTGCATCAACGTTCTGGACATTCATCACAGGAGAAAACTCAGGTTGAAACGGCGACGGTGCTTGACCACTAGGCAACAGGTCCCCCTGTGCACTGAACGTCGGTGGCGCAATTGGTACACGCAACTCCAGCGGAACGACAGGGAGATCAGCAGCAGGTGAACTGGACATCGCAGGCGAAGTAGGAACGTAGCCTGAGCGTGAGCGGTCACCACGGGAACCATCATCATCAGCCATGGCCTCTAGATAGTGCACTACCTAGGGTGGGGTGAGACCACAGCTAGTAGAAAGCACGTACCGCACTTATGGCGATACGGCTGATAACCTGTAGATACAGGTAAACGACCGAGAACTACCAACAAGTCGCACCTGGTTTTCCTTGAGCCAAACGGTAGGTAAGTGAGACATGTATACGACATCCTAGCGTGAAACAACAACTGTGAAGGTGGTGGCTCCCCAAAGCCATCCTGTTTGCGGCAAGCCTGTTTTGAAGTTCTGGCTGCTGTGAATTTGGGCTCCACTGCCACATATTGGGCAATCAGCTGGCCGCGCATGTTGGTGACTCAATGGGCTTTCAAGACATTTAACAGATGGTGGCTTCAGCTCTAGATTGATGGCGCGCTCCGAAAACTGATCTAGTGGCTGCCGCTAATTCTATTTGGCCTTAATATTGTGTTCTAGCACCTTATTTAATATGCGTTAGTTGGGTTGGCTCATCCCGTCAAAGGGTTGCATAGCCTAATGGTAAAGACGTCGCATTCCAATTCTTCACTTATACAGGGTGAGGATTCGAGTCCCGGCTGTGAAGACGCTTAGTGACTTCCGGTAATTAATTTTTGGCTGGAATGGGAAGTCAATTCGAAGTTGAGTCTGGTGGTAATACTGGTGATAGTGGTGAGTAGCAGTAGCAGCAGCAGTAAAGCTGTTGCAGGAAAAGTAGCAGAAGGAGTGGTGGCAGCAGAGGTGGTTGTAGTAGTGGCTTGTAGTAGTGGTGGTTCGAGTCCCGGCTGTGACCACACTTAGTGGCTTCCGGTAATTAATTTTGGCTGGAATGGGAAGTCAATTTGAAGTTGGGTCTAGTGGCTTCCGCTAAATCTGTGGTGGTGGTAATACTGCTGATAGTAGTGAGTAGCAGTAGCAGCAACAGTAAAGCTGTTGCAGTAGTAGCAGCAGGTGGCAAGTGCAGTGGCAGTAGCAGTGGTGGCAGCAGAGGTGGTTGTAGTAGTGGTGGTGGTGATTGAAGGGCTTGGATCACACACCCACCTTTTGATCCATACCCCATGGATCGAGGTATGGATCGTGTGTGGGTTTGGGTGTGTGATCCAAGCCTTATGTTTTTGGCCGTAGCCATATGTGAGCAGCAGTGGATATGCTTGAAAGTGAACTAAAAAATGGGCGTAGGATAGAGCCTATATACACAAGGCCGCATCCACTGTTACTGTTTGTAGGATAGATTTGGACCTCCCTTGGACATTTACAGTTCTGGGGGTGTAAGGTCTTTTCAAGCTAAAAGGGCACCCTCAAGTATCTCCAGGGTTTGCCTGCATTCATGTTTCCTCTCCTGTCCACTACCAAATGTCCAATTCCCTTGGACATTTACAATTCTGGGGGCACCCTTTTTCTTTCGGCTTAAAGCCCTTAGCGGTTCCTGACTGCATTCAGTCTCCCCTCTCCTGTCCTTTACCTGGACTCGCACACCTGGCGATCTCAATTTCTGCTAGCAGCCATCAGACACCCGGTTGGATGATGTGCTGAGTGGACATGGATCCTTCACACACGTCCAGGTGTCAATCTCATCACATCCCTGTGGGAGCTTTAGGTGTTCCTACCTTCAGTCTCCTCTGTCCTCTGCCTTTAGTGCGCTTGCTTGATGCTTTTCTCCTATCCTCTACCTGCACTCACACACCAGGTCAGCTCTCTACCTGAACACACACAGCCGGTCAGCTCACCTCAGTGTGGGGAGACCTTGTTAATTCTCCCCTCTCCTGTCCTCTACCCAAGCAGGGATCAATAGACAATCTAAACAGTCTGATCACTTCGTGCTGCTATTGATGCACTATGCAGCCTCACTTGCACCAGTCGCATCACCAAGACCCCTAAAACCATTTTCACTACCTTTGGACCCTCGCCCTGCGACCACCCCCTCCACACCTGTGTTCGCCCATCGAGGACCCAGCCATGCCTATCGGCTGGTTTTTGTAATAATCATGATTTATTGTAGTGTCTGAATGTTGAATTCGTTTAATGATGTTGATTGATTCTCCTGGGAACATGTGCCTTCAAGAGTGAGCCGCCATAGAAACCTGTGTGTTGTCAATGGTGAGTTGTTCACTGCTTCGGCTGTGAAGCTTGCACAAGAAACCAGTGGACGCAAAACCATAAACCAAACACCAGGCACCCTATGCAGTAAGCACCTACAGTTTGCATGTGGCAGATGAAATAGCTTCCTTGTCACATGTTTTGAGTGGGCAAGCCAGCAACTCACAAGTTTCACTTCTGAAATCTATTGTCAACACCTTTGAAATTGAAACAAAGGCTCCTGTTTTTGTTGTCTGACCGCTAAACCTCTTTATGAAGCCTTAGTAGCTATTTGAAATCGCTGCACAGTTTCGTCCTCCCAGCTGCTAAGCATTGTTGCGCAATTCTCCAATTGGAACTGCAACAGACTGCAACACGTGCAATTGGCGCTCTTTTGTTGCTTGTGAGGCCAACTCGAGATTGGGAGCTCAGCAAACCGGGGGCAAGAGCGCCAAAGCCACCCCGTGAGCCGCGAGTCAAACAACATCTGTCTGACATTGTCTAGCCAGTTCAATATTGTCATTCTCGCAGTATCCTCATTGAGCCTAATGAGGGCCTAATGGCCAGACCATATTCTAAGTGTGCAAGGAGAAAGATTCGAATATATATATAACTAAATTCCTTCCTTCGCTCTTTGAAGCTGAGGTGTTTGGCGAGATGGAACTACTGTAGATGATGTCAAAAGGACAAATTTTGCTAGGATGTTGCCTTACATGGAGCCAAGGAGAACTGAAGGGCGGGAGCTGTCCAAAAAAACAGAGAGGTGTCAACGAAGAGAAAAGAGACAAAGCAGGAAAGGTCTGAGGGAGAAAAAGAACATGATAAAAGGCAACAAAATAAGAAGGTGCTTGAAAGGAACGAGTTACGCTTCACAGTGGAGCCCAGCAGTCTCGACACACGATGTTGCCGCCAGTTCCATCTGTGTCCTCTTTGTCGGGGGCTCCTCATTCGACAAATCATTCCCAAAAATGTGAGTTCAACAATATTATGGAACATGCATGTGAAAAATGCTTCGAGTGGCAGTGTCAGGCATGGCCTGGCAGACACCTCAGCCTGGAACCCAAATTCAATCAAACCAAACTGCAGTCTCAAGAACCTTTGAGTGTGTCCCGCCTTTGTGTAAGCAACAACCTTTGACAAATGGATTTGAGTGCCTCAGTGCTCTTGCCCAGTGTAGCGTAGTGACATAGTGTAGGCAGTGTAGCGCATGAAAGGTGGGATAGTTTTGCAGCTTTGCACCAGAAAACATGGTACAATACATGTAAATAGTTATCATGTTTCATCTGAGCCAAGCATCTCTGAGCTTCAGGAGGCCTCACAAAGCACCAACAATTGAAACAGTGGAGATAATGGATGCAAATTTTCTGGAGATCTTTGATAAGCATAGTCTTGTTTTGCACAAGCTACTCTTAGCTCAGTTGTGTGTCTTGGTTTCATAATGGTTTCCTTTCAAGGGGCTCTGGACAGTGGACTTCCATTGGGTTGGAAGCTGGAAACAAATCCTCAGCTCCTGACACAGAATCCAGCGTCAAACTTTAGATGCAAAGCAGAAAAAAGATGGAAGCGTCAACAATCACCAAAGAAAGGGGTTCCACCTGAAGAAGCCTTTTGAGAAGAAATGCGGTCCTGTAATGGAGGGCAATTCAGGACAAGGGAAGGCGTCGCTATCTTCCAGCCATTCCTCGCACAAATGCGTGAAGAAAATAAAAGGGCACGGCAAAAAGTAACAAGATAATCAAGCAGTACTTGTACTATATATAATGTTCAGCAAAATCTCGATATCATCTTCCTCTTCAAGGAGCGACATCTCCTCCTTAGTCACTTTGCACAGCTCTCATGTGTGGCCTACAGTGCTTGCCAAAAATATGTAGGACTCGCCCAGCAACTGGTGTGCACATTGACATCAAATGTCCATTTGTTGGGTAGTCCCATCGCACAAGAAATGCTCCATAGTCCAACTGACGCCTGCATCAGCTTTTGGAACGCCTCTGGATCCTAAAATAGTTGAGAATAAGACAACTGGCATTCCGAGTAAGTAGTTCCGCCTGACCACCCCAACTTGCCAATCGAGACTGTCAGGATAGAGCGCTTCCACCCTCAAAGCAGCAAATCCCGTGGTGAACATTGCACACAATTCGTTCAAAAAAAGCTCTAGATAGCTCACCTGTCTCCAAGCGTGTAGTCTCTGAAGACTCCCTTCATGTCCTGGACTCTCAAGCAATAGTACAACATAGTACAACAATTGGTGAACACGGAACATGCTGAACTGCAGCGGATATGATCAGAGTCCTCGCAGTTGCATCTGCTTGTGTGCGTCTTTTCTCCCTCCCATTGCACTTCGAAAGTGCCTCGATTCTTTTGCTATGCTCCGGAATCTGTCATCAACTTCAGAGGGTCAGGGTCTAAAACATGTCCATACTAATTTTAGTAAATTACAGTTTGACATGTAACTATTCTAAGTGTCACTAGTCCTACATTGGGGCTCACCATGGCTCATCCCTTCAGAACTCAATGCCTCATCACTCAAGGGATTTTCTGCTTGCAGCAACGCGCACAAAACAACAATATTGCCCAGCATGGTGAGGGCGGGCGCTTGGAGGGAGAAAGTGTCAACAAAATGCAACGGTATGTCGAGTGGCCATGTGGCGTTGGAAATGGAACAACCAAAGGCGTTTCCCTTGACAACGTGGGTTCACATGGTTTCACAAGGCAGTAAAATGGACTGAGGCCATCCTGGCAGGAAATCGACATCATGGCACATGAAAAACGGTGCCAGTAGTACAATGGCCTTTTCGACTCAACACCCGTGAACTTTGCAACATGTCTCTCCATCATGTGTGAACACCCCACATCTCCTTGGATATTTGGGGTACAAACATTGGGCATCGTTGAACTCCTAAACTTTAAACGTTAGAAAGTTCAAATAAACTTTAAACACCATAATCATTGAATTCTTATACAGTAAATCTTAAACATGTACATGTCAGGAGGGAACCAAATTACATACACCTTCTAATGCACATCAAAGTCACCATCAGGATGGACATCCCCAACAACGGCTGGGAGAAACTCCTCAGTGCATTGGTCTCGGTTCAATGCAAATGATCGCAGATTCATCTGTTCGTGTTGTAATCTACTTGTGATGCAGAAGAATATCCATAATCCAAGTCAAGAAATAAGTAGAGATAAGCTGTATTCTCATTTTGCAAACGAGCTGCTCCAGTTTCAATCCTTGCATGTACATGGTCACCAACCTGGTAGTCGCTGAAGGTGCTCAAATGCTTCCTTGGTAGCAATGAACAGGCAGTAGGCAGTAGTGCTTCCATTGCAATGGCAATGCATCTTCCAAAGGTTTCCAAAGCGTGGTTCAAATGGCAGAACAAGTCGCATGTACCTTGACCTGCACACGGTCGTTTCAGGTGCATCACCAGGATCATCCCACAGAACGACATAGAATCCCTCTCCACAACTATCCTGCCAGTGTAACCCGACCATCAATGATCAATGTACGACATTGCTGCATGCCCCTCTTCCCAACAAATACAGCAGTCCTGCACCACTCCAGTGTACCAAGTCTGGTCTTCGTCATACAGTGCTTCTACTGGATCACCAGGCTTGTAGTCATCCACGACCTCCACCATCCTTCCATGCAAACGTTAACTCGTGCCTGCATGGGGTCTGTGCTCACTCTTTGCAGCCTAGAATCCGAATATTTTCAGGAGGGCAAATGGAGAGTTCTGGCCCTCCATCTGGATCATCCCATAAAACAACAAATTTGCCATCACCTCGATCCTTCAAACGGAGTGCTTGCGATGCCTGTGTAGAGTGATGTCAACAAGCTCAAGTCACAAGTCCTGCACGACGGTGGCGTTGTACCACTCATAGTCTTCTTCGTAAAGTGCAACCACCAAGTCTCCTCTGACACCCACCCCACCAAGACTCACCGAACAACTGTATGATCTGTATGCAGGGGATCGGGTGTCACGCCTGGAGAGTATGATAGGCGCAGTGGTCTCACATCTTCAAGGTCAGAATTCGAGATGTCCGGGTGTCCATCGGGATCATCCCAACGAATTTGGACCGTGCCGTTCTCGAAGTCCTGCGAACAAGACACAACTCGACAGACTCGACCTGTGGAGCTTAGAGATTCACCACCGCAGTCCTTCACCACGGTTGCGGGATAGAAGTTCAAATCGTCTTCCCAAAGTGCCTCGACTCGCTTGCCCACTGTCCCTCCTGCATCTGCTCGGCTGCCCAAAGTCCTCAGTTCAATTGGCAGTCTACTCGCAACAATTCGTTTAACCAAGTAAGAGTCCTCTGTTTGACTTGAGGTGGGATCTATGCATGGCAAGCCAGACACTAAATAGGTCAGCAAAAGCCAACACAACTTGAGAAAATAGAAAGTCCTACAAGCTCAAGGATTCCTCGAAAAGACTCTTTGCGAACCTCTCTTCGGTAAAGGGCAAGGTCGGCGACAGAAATTTGAAGACCAGAAGGGTCAATCCAAGACGGCGAGGCGTGCTTCGTCTCATATCTTCTCTCAGTCATCTCCATGTGCAGTGAAGGTGACGGCTTTTTGATGCTGCGTTGATGAAACATTGATGTGATTAGTTAGTTGTGTGAAGAAAGCCCTTTGCTCAGACAAAGCAGGGAGCAACGGCCTTAGCATCAACTGAGTAGAGTCCAGTCAACTGAATACAGAGAACTTGACTCGCTTGGTGGCACATCTTGGACCAAAAGCGCGGGAGGTAGTTCATCAAGCGGATTGATTGCAAATGATCTGGTTCTTTCTCCTTTTCTCATTTTAGATCTTTGGAATCTTTGGAACTTGATTCCTTCTTCTTTCTTGCATATTAATTGAAAAACTTGGAAAACAATCTGAGGTAAGATTGGGTAAGACAGAACCATGGTGGTTTCTCCTCAGGTCCAGCTCCAAGTTCTTCCGAGGCAAAGCCATCGACAAAAACTTCCTGGATCCCAATGCAGAACCACCTGAGTGCACTGACCGGAGCTGGAAAACTCCAGCATCAAGTCGTCAGCAGCCACTGAGAGCTATGCAACTAAGTTTGATTCTGTATTTATGTTTTTTTTTGGTCTTTGTTTTTCACTGGGTCACTACAGTGGTCACTGACCTTTTGACCTTCCTTATGTTCTTTGCTCTTCCTTTCCTCCCCTGTTACTTTGGTGAATCCGAAGTGCTTCTCCATAGTGATCTTTGTATGCCTCAGTCACTCTCAACAACACAAAGCAATGGCGCTGGCTTCATGGCAAGTGAGGCCCAATCACAAAGTCTTCTGCGTTGTACAGCTGCTCATCCCACTGCAGAGGCAAAGGTGAAAGATGAAAGGCAACTGTTCAAAAAAAGAAAAAGGACGCATCAATTGGAGTCAGTTTGTTGATGCAATCTATGAATTTTGAACATAAACGGCACAAAACAGAAACAGCGCACCCCTCCCAAAGTCAAACTGCCGGTTCCCCGATTCAGTCCATTCCATGGACAGCACCTGATCGAATACTGTAAGTGAAGCAAATCCGAATGGAACATCAAGTCAGGATCAAGCAGCTTTGAAGGCTGCGCAGTTTGCCTACATGAACCTCAGCATCCGGCTGCATCGCAAAAACATTTTGAATGCCATTCTTCGCCTTGGTTCAAGGTGCAATGTTGGCCCCCTGCGATCCCACAAACAAATCCAGATAAGTCCAGTGACAATCTTGCGTGCAGGCTTCTCTCTGAGGAGAAAACAACCAAAGAATCCCACAAGGTTGTTGTGAGACCTTGAGGAAAGTCTTGGGCAAAGAGCAGTTCTGAGATTCATTCCAGCTTCGATCCAATGTCTTCGCAAGTCAAACGATGAAAGTTTTGATGCTTCTTTTTGGCACCTTGTGGCAAAAGCTCAGGATATGCCATGCCAATGATACCACGGGACACAAAGCCACCCCTGGCTAACAGGGACACCGGAGCTGAGCTTAAAATACATTGCACTGTCTTTTCCACAATGTATTTGCCCAGTAGGCACACAACTGTTTTTTGCGACACAAATATGACAAATAATATAACATGTTGTTGCGTGCGTGATGGGTCACCTGTGCATCTTGCTTCATTCGGAGGCCGGTGCTATCCTATTGACCTATGTTTTTTTTCATTGGGCCTCGAGTTAGACCGACGGATTATACATACACCCGGACCGTCCTTTGGTTTGAGCTCTTGCGGAGAGCTGGCATGCGATGCATGTGTTACCTGGCCAAGACCTCCCGGATTTTTTTAAGCTGCTGGTCCTCTGGTGCAAGCGAAGTCTGAAGGGCATCTGCCTGCTTTGTTCACGATCACTATCGTTTTTTGTTTTTATTTGTCTTGATCGTTCTACAAGGTTTTGGAGCACGCGCACACACCTACACACACTCGGGAAATGCGTGCTGAATTGAAAGCACACGCCCACACCTAGGTATGAAAACCTAAACGTCAGGGTAAGAGTAGGCTGCAGGCCATCGCATCCAGGTTGGAGGCCGTCGCATCTAGGGGAGGCGCTTGCTACTAGTTGGAGGCCATCACTAGTAGGTTTGTTGGATGCAAAACAAGGCTCAAAACTGCAAGAACCGACAAGGTCAAAGGTCATCACTAATAGGTTGGAGGCCAAAACGACAAGGTTGGAGGCCCGCGTTACCAGGTTGGAGGCCATCAAAGTGCACAAAATTCAAGCGACAAGTGCAAAAACTTGAATTACCTTAAAATTGGAAGCCATCACGCACGAGGGTTGGAGGCCAACGCTACAAGTTCACAAGACACAAACTCAAAATACAAGTTTGAGCGAAACGGGTGGCAGGTACGTTGGAGTGGCCAACTCCACTATCCCATCTTGCTGCCTAGCTTTGTTAGACCAGGTCAGAAGCAAGATGCCCGGTCCCTCTTCCATTAGGAAGACCGAAAGGCCCCCTTTGATTACAAGGGTTACACACACACACTCTGACATTGGTTTTCAGTTAACTCAATTGCCACGTTGGGAAGGTAGGTGAAGAACGGTAAGGTGAAGAGTCCGCAAAACTTGTAGATGTTTGAACAAAATGGTTTGAAGTCTGCAGAAAGCACGAAAACGAAACGCTCACGAAAACGCCCGGCTCAGTTGCAAGAACGCGGTGGGAAGGTTTAGGGGGAGTATCATGAAGAACCATGAAAACAAACAAGGTCAATTGGACAGCTTGTTCAACCGTTAAAGCAGGTACACATCCATGGCCAGTGGATGCTTCCCTCTCTGATGCCTAGCTTCGTTGGACAGAGTAGCATCAGAGAGCTCTGTCCCCCTGCTTTAAATTAAATTAGACCCTTGGAAACAGGGTTTGACACACACACGGTGCCGCTTCGCGGCGCGCATGTGAAAGACCTGAATAGTCACCTAAAAAGCCTTAGAAACAAAAGAAAAGAAAGACAGAAAGAGCAGCGCTAAGAGGGCAAGAAAGAAAGGTAGGTGTAGAAAAAGTGAATACTTAGCCCTTGACGGGGGTAGGGAAACGAGCCTCAAGAGCAACCTAAAAAGCCTGAAAGAAAGCCCAACAAACGACGAAAAGCGCAAGAGGGAAAGCGGGGGGGCAGGGAGGGGCTGTATGTCCATGTGTGTGTACATGCGTGTGTCTGAATACCTAGCACCCTAGAGTTACTGATTACTTAGCAGAGATGAATTAACTGCAATAGCTAGGGAGCGGGACTTTAGTCTTAGACCGCCCGGGTAGGATAGACTAGAACAGGAACAACACAGGGAAAGGCACCGACACACAAGTGTGTCAAGTACCATTTCCCTATGTTGCCCTAAATAGGTAGGGAGTAGAACTCGGCGGGGGGGGGGGGTTGGGAAACCTGCCTCATTGCGGGTGGATTAC